TAAGTACTGAAATTGGCTTTTTATAGCTTTACAAATAACCCAAAAAAGAACCTAACCAAAATCTGGTAAACAAATATGACAAACAAATCTTAGAAAATATTTAAACTAAATACCTAAAAACAAATTCTTCTACCATGCCCTGCATGGAAAGCAACCAGGATAAAGATTGTATCAAATTCTTCTAATATGCAGTTGTGAATTGAGGTCCTTTCTTGCTCTAAACACGTTAAATCTGGGTTCACATTGATTCAAAGAAACTTGTGCTGAGGTATATTTCAGATCAGTAAAAAGTTTGTACCTGAAGTTGATATTTATATCGGTATAGGTAGGAAACTATATGCCTAACTTAATTGATTTATACATACACATACATCAAACAGAATTGACCTCAAAAAGGTAAATTATAACTTTGTTACTCCTCATTTTTTAATCCAAAAAGCCCATGGTTCGATGTAGCCACTGCCAATCTAAGTGCAGCCTAGCTCGACATGGGATATCTGCTAAATGCGAATGTGAATTTGCTAACATACTTCACAAATCCAAACAAGAAAGGGAGATTTGAGCTCCATGATCCTCTATCCTTGCATTGATAACACACTTATTGCTACCTAATTCATAGCTCCTTTTTCAACATCCAAACAAGAATCAATGTTGATGAATGTTCAAATGATGTCTAATCAGGTCAGGCTCTCCATTATAGAAAGAAAAATGGTTCAAAAGCAAGTGGAAACGAATGGGATGAAGGTTGGGGTAAAAGGGATTTTCTGGGTCAAAGTTAATTTTTATACTTTGTTACGATACTCATATTGTCTACACAATTATTGCAGTTTGATTGATGGTGGCCCTCTTGGTGGGGTTCTGATTAAAAAAATAAGGCACGCTCACAACATGCTTCATTTCTATTGGGTACCCCACTTTTCACAATCTATTACAAGCAATGAAGAAAACATCTTGTAGACCAAATTTATAAAATATTTTGATTGGTATTACAAGAAACATAGATATCACTAGCATAATCCTTCGTGATTAGCGGCCAAGTTGCTGCAACTGTGAATTGGAGAAATGGCTATATTATTCTTCATCTTCTATTTTGATATTTAGTAAAATTATATGAAAATATGAAACAAGATATCAAATATGTAATATAAACTTTCAGGAAGATGGAAAGAAAATGTTCAAATTATCATATGATATTGCAATTCATGTCACACTTAAAAAGAATTAAATTTGTTACAAACTGTAATTATATAATAGCTAATTATGGTCTCAAAATATAATAATTTTTAGGTTATATAAAGTCATGTATATTGTCCTTGTAAAGAGACTTGGAAAATGTAGCAATAAACATTTGTGCTTTCTTTTAACTAAGCGCTAAGTTTGTTTGTAATTTTATATAGTTTAAATTGCATATTTAGAATAATTCAAACTTGACATAATCGATCTTTGTTTGTAATTTTATATAGTTTAAATTGTATATTTAGAATAATTCAAACTTGACATGACCGATCTTGTCTGTGGAGTGGAGTGATTCAAATCTCAAACAAGTGTTTTTGAGATATTCGATCAACAAGATAATCTGAATCTTACTCTCCTCGTAGTGATTCTTTATTACTTAATATCAAAGCTTTCTTTTAGATCAATTCGTTATCAAAAAGTCTATTCAACATGAAAGATGAAAGATAATTAAGTTTAGGGGGTGCCAATGAATAAACTTAATTCATCCTAACAAATTTTGGAATGTCTAAATCTAAGTTTATTGGATATGTTTTAGAGTTAAATTTATTTGATAGACATACAACGATAATACATGTATCATGTATCAAGTAGAATTATTTAATATTTGATACGTGTACGAGAATGTTCCAAAATATGACAGAACACATCCCTTCCTCTCAAAAAGATAGATTCAAAATGTTGATAGAATTCTCCTCATGTTCCATAAAAAAAATTGCTTTGCTTCAATAATTTAAACACGTCTGAATAAAACTAATCATTTTCTTTGTTCTGTATTTGATCAATTTTAGTGGTTTCCCTTCATGGAAAGAAGCAAAAACAATAATGCAAGAGGCATTTTCTATAGAGCTCCTGTACAACTCGATATATTTGTTTAAATTTTCTACGTTGAACTTCTGCAATCTTTGAAATATTTCCATGATAAAATCAATGGCTGTCTTTATCACTTCACAATATCTAATTCATCGATAGAAATATGGATAAAAATGAGGTAATTAGCCTAAGATAATGTTTATATTTTATTTGTGTTAGGTTCAACCAGGCACACACTCAATCATGAACACAAAAAACAGGAGAGAGAAAATAAAAAGATTAATATTGGCTAAAGGTAGGTATGTATAACAATAGATAATACAATACAGAGAAGAGAAGGAAGAAATTATCTTTTGAAATCACTGCCTATGGGTATATATATTTTCGTTTACTAAATATAAAGCTAGATTTAATCTACTATATATATTCTACTAAATATATCTCTACCAAATTTTACAAAATATATACTATATATCTATAAACATCAGACTTCATATCCCAACAATCTCCTTAGAGACTGATCCAATCAACCTCAACAATCTCTCACTTGTTGATTGATCCAATCAACTAACTAGGAATTTCATTCTTACCACGAGACTTTGCACAACCTCAATGTTCCAACATCAACACAAAATGTTTGTTGGATTCCTTTCACCCTCTATCTTCTTCAAACACATCACCATCTTCCACTAACCTCCGAGTGAAATGATATCACCTTCTGTGTTTTGTGTTTGAATGATAGATCGGGTTCCTCGCCAACTGCATGACACTCTAACTATCTACCTGAAGAATCTTCTCGCGCTGCTTCTTACCTAATTCTTCTACATAGTTTGTCATCCATATCATCTCATTTTCAGCTTCAACTATTGCCACATATTCAGCTCCAGCAGATGAAAGAGCAACGCATTTCTGAAGCCTAGACATCCCATCATTCATGGCTTGCTCCCACTTGGTTGTATCCTCCAACTGTAGAGCCTCATCTAGGGGCTTTCGTTTCCCTTCATCAGTCACCAACCGATAGTGTAAAGAAGATACATACCTATCTGGTACTCTGATGACTCTGGATAATCTTTTCAACACCTACTCAAGTGCCACTTTCTCTGCTTCTAGTTCCTCATCAATAGTCTCAGAAGTTTCTTACATATCCGCTACAAACATCACTAGGTGAATCTTTTAGCAACTCAATCTCAACTCCCACTTGCTTCGTTGTCCCTGAGCTTTTCTTCAATTCTCTTACAGTCTTTGTGAAGCTAACTTGTTTCTATTTGTTCATAACGCAGTTCTCACAAGGACTCATATCAACAAATTTCAGACCTTCCAAAACTCCTTCCGCAGCCAACATCTTTATTCATTTAACGCTCATATGTCCAAGTCTATTATGTCATAAATTTGAATTTGAAGCACTCTCAGCGACGGCAACATGTTCATACACCCTGCAGTGGTGTATAAGGTTCCAGATTTTGTGCCACGTGCTACCACCATAGCACCCTTTCACAATCTTCCACGAACTCTTCCCAAACTTTGTTGCATAACATGTGTTATCCAACTGACCAATAGAGATCAGGTTCTTCTTGAGACTAGGAATATATCTAACATCCTTTAATGTTCATTGATTTCCTGCCATAGTCTTTATGCAGACATCTCCTTTTCCTTCAATTTACAAATCTTTGTTGTTGGCAAGATACACCTTCTCAAAATTTCCAAACTGACTTGAAATTCCGAAACAATTCCTTATTTGGAGATAAATGAAAAGATGCACCTAAATCCAAAATTCAGGATTCAATTGAACTATCCATGCTGAGGATTAGAGCATCTCCAATGTCTTCTGCTGAATTTACCGAATCAACGTCATCCTTTGATTTGGGATTCTGCTTCCTCTTTGTACAATCTGCCCGAAAATGACATTTTTCTCCACAACTCCAACACTTTGCATTTTGTTTGTTTGAAGATTTTCCTCGGTTTCTTGGTTTTGATCGCTCATTGTTTGGGCCTTTTGATTTACTTCTTCCCCTTCGATCAACACTAAGAGCATTGCCTAATGAATCTTCAATTTTTCGTTTGCGAATATCGTTGAGAACTACATCTCGCATTTTATCGAACTTCAGTTTATCAAATTCTCGTGAAATGCTAATTGCGGAAAAACAGCATCCCACGACTCAGGTAAAGATGACATCAAAATCAATGCTTTAATTTCATCCTCGAAATTAATTTTCACCGAACTCAGTTGACTTAGAATCATATTGAATTGATTTATATGATCAGCAACAGATCCACCTTTAGACATTTGCAGATTGAACAATCTTCGCATCAAATACACCTTGTTCATAACTGACGTCGCACATATTCGACAGCACCTTCAACAGATCTGACATTGTCTTCTCCTTAATGATGTTGAATGCCACGTTTCTAGACAGTGTCAATCAAATCAATCCTCTTAATGATGTTGAATGCCACGTTTCTAGACAGTGTCAATCAAATCAATCCTAAGGCCTAACGATCCTTGAGCTTCCACTACTTCGTGGTCATAGTATCCGGCTTAACAAGGATTCGTGAAAAACTTTCTGGTACAAATAATCTTTAATTTGCATCTTACAGAAATTGAAATCGAATCCATCAAACTTTACAATTCCAATCTTTGAAATTTCTATCTTTACAAATCATGGTGAATCTTGCCTCGCTCTGATACAAGTTGTTAGAATCACTCAACAAATAACACACTCGATCAAAATAAATACAAAGAACAAGAGAGAGAAAATTCAAAAAGGAATATTGACTAAAGGTTTTATTGATAATTTCATGTACGTACAATAGAGGATACAGATGATGAAAAAAGTACATTTTGAAAGCACTGTCTAATGAGATAGATATATATATGGTTTCCATTCGAAATATCTACATATATATTTCTACCCGATCCTTTACAATAGATAGATATCACGCTCCATATTCCAACGATTTGAGTACTTTAATTCCATTGGACAACCATAAACTCCAAACTTAAAATTAGCTAAAAGTAGGGGACTGGAATAAGCCTAAGGGGTGATTTCTTGGCAGCCGAAAGACCATCGACCTCTTCCATATCAACATCTTCTTCTTTCATTCCATTGGGCAGTTTCCAATCAAAGGACAGCAACAAGTTAGCCAGTGCCAACTCCACCGTAAGGGTTGCCATATTCATCCCAAGGCAAATTCTTCGCCCGCTTCCAAAAGGTATTAACTCGAAGTTCTGTCCTTTATAATCGATATTGCTTCCTATAAACCTCTCGGGAAAGAACTCTTCTGGGTCAGTCCAAGATTGTGGATCTCGTCCGATAGCCCAAACATTGATGTGAAGATGAACCTTGGAATCGACATCGTAACCGTTGAGCTTCAAAGGGGATATGGTTTCTCTTGGAAGTAGAAGTGGGATCGGTGGATGCAATCTGAATGTCTCTTTCACTACCATTTTTAGATACTCAAGTTTTTCCAAGTCGATCTCTTTCACTAAATCTTCTTTTATGCAACTTCTAATCTCGTCTTGGAGTTTCTTCATCACTCTTGGGTTCCTAACTAGCTCTGTCATCGTCCAAACAATGGTGGTTGCCCCTGTTTCTACTCCCGCTAGAAATATATCCTAGAAGCGCACACATATGGTTATATCAAACGGATCATAAGAAATTATGGGCTTAACAGTTTGCTACTTTTCAAAAGAGTTTAAGTTACCATGATAAGTGCTTTGATGCAATCTTGGGTTACTTCAGAGCTTTCCCTTTCCATTCTCAACAAAACATCAACAATGTTTTCTTCATTCTTAGACGTCTTCTTGAAGTTTCTACGATCGTCGACTATATGTTGAAAAAAGGCATCCATTTCAGCAAAGCTCTTCTCCAGCCTCCCATGAACACCATTTAACCGATCAATAATCCAACCGAAAGTAGGAATGAAATCGGTCATCGAGAAGCTTCCAATTGCTGCAACTGCTCTCCTGATAACATGTTGAAAGTATTCATCATCTAGCTTTCCCCCGCTGAAGATGCTGCCAAAAGCAACTCTTGTTGTTATATTTGCAGTGAGAGAATACAATTTGTCACTCAGATCAATTGGAGATGAAGAAGAAGAGGATTGAGCGATGGAGTTTACAAGGCGCCCCACTTCCTCTTCTCTAATTTCCCAAAAAGATTGAACCCGCCGAGCAGTGAAGAGCTGAAGCGTACAAATCTTCCGTAGTTCCCTCCAACGTTCACCGTACGGTGATAGATTTAGATCCAAGAAGTTGTATGAAAGTCTTCCACTACCCGTTAAGCGAGGGCGGCTGCAAGAAGCAAGATCGTGGAACTTAAACAACTCTTTTGCAGCGGCGGCAGAGGAGATAACGATGGTTGGGACAGAGCCGAGTTGGAGGAGCATGACGGGGCCATATTTTTTTGAAAGCTGAGAGAGAGAGCGATGAGGGAGGGAGCCAAGGAGGTGCAAATGGCCCAACAAAGGAAGCTTGGGAGGGGATGGAGGAAGAAGCTTGTTGTTGGGTTTTGCCTCTTTTCTTATGGATTTAAGAAGCAACAGAGAAGAACAGAGGAAAAGCAGAGGAACCCAGATGAAAAAATCATTACTAGGCATCATTCTATCAACTCTAAGCATTTCCAAAGCTCTACTCTGAGATATAAAGAGTAGAATGTGGTGAGTAATATTTGTGTGTGAGGGTGATTGAGATATTTTGGGTGACAGAGCCTGCAATAGTTGTTGTTTTACAATATCATGTGGATTTGTTTTGCAATAAGTGAATTATATTGAAAGAATTGGAATATCTGTATGTTATATATGAATTTGGTAAAAGCTGTTAGACAGCAACATGACTCATAATATCCTTTTATAAATGATAAATAAAAAAGTGGCTTGAGATTTTTAAAAATTTCACTCACGATGCAATGAAACCGACAAGTATTGATTGCAACTGTGTTTTCTCTACCACGTGCTTCCAATTATTTGTTCTAGATTTTTCTTTTTTTTTTCAATGTCTTATGTACCGTTAATTTTTTTAAATTTTAGGTTTAGAACAGACTCAATATTATTAAGAAACTAAAAATTACAAAAAAAAAAAAAAAAAAAATGATCCATGGTATTCTTTAAAAAAATATCAAAAAATGGCTTTTGAAAAAACTTTAAAACATGATTTTTTCTAGTGCATTAACTTTTTGGAAATGTCCAAGTGCTCCTTTGAAAATTGCTTAAAATGGCGAATGATATCCTTAGTAATTTCCCATTTCAATGATATGTTTTAGAAATTAAATGGGAACAAACTATTTTAGAAATTGGAAATTACTTGTTGATAAGTAAGAAATAGTAGATAACTGTTGGAACTTTTTTTTTCCCGAAAAAGAACTTTTATTGTAATATCTAATATTTAAAATGTAATTTTGAAACTTTTCTCCTCACTCGATGAATTGATTGTTTATCTTTTATCAAGAGCAATGACAGCAGTTAGCCAAATGTATACCTATGATGAGCAAGTTTCATACGAGTCAATTATTGCAAAGGTATTGAAAAGTTTAAGGAACCGAGGATCTATTTGTACTCCCTAATGATGAACTCATGAGCTTGAAGGCTTATGAGCCAAGAATTAAATAACTCATCAAAACTGAAGGAAGAATAACACTTTAAATGAGACAACCACCAACCCATGGTAAAATATTCATTAAGGAAATAGAGATCGTGGAAGAGGAGAACTTCGTTACAACCATTGTCGTGGTAACACGAGTAGTTGGAGAAATGATGGACAAAGGCAATTCGATAATCAAAGTAACATGAGGAATGTCATTTAATGTTACCATTGCAAACGATATGGGCATGTAAAGTTGATTTTTGGGGTAAAGATCAACAAACAAATTTTGCAACAAAAAATGAAGAAAAAGAAAGGCTTTTGATGACTTGTATTGATACTTAACCTAAAACAAAAGAATACATGGTTTGTTGATAGTGGATGCTCGAATCATATGAGAGCCACTCCAAGAGCTTGATGAAACACAAAAAGTTAAGGTGCAACTTGACAATAAAAGAGATGCAAGTGGAAGGGAAAGACACTGAAAGTTTAAACCAATCATGTCACAGTAAACTATTGGATAATGTTCGATTCGTGTCATATTTAACATACAATCTATTGAGTGTTGAACAATTGATGATTTGAGGATGTTTTGTTCTATTTGATGACAAACACATGTATTATTACAAATAAGAAAGGAGGCTTACAAGTTCTAATTCACATGACTTCAAATAAGATGTTTCCATTGAATGTACGTGAGGAATTTTGCTCTTACTACTTGAGCCAAAGATGACTCGATGCTATGACATTTAAGATATGGGCATCTTCATATGAAGTACCTGAAATTAATCAATGATAAGGCAGTTTTCGGGTTACCAAATATTGATACAATTAGTTTATGTGAAAGGTGCAATTATAGTAAGCCAAGTGAGAAGTCTTTTTGAGTTGGATAAATTAAAAGAGTTTTCAAATAGTGTAGAACTAATTCTTGAGTGAGAGTGTTTATTTTTTATTATTTACTCATGACTAGAGTAATATGAGTTGGCTTTATTTCCTATAACATAAGTTAAAAACTTTTGAGAAATTTTAGAATTTTAATGGTATAGTAGAGAAGTTTTAGAAGTTTTAGAATTTTAATGATATGGTAGAGAATCGAAGTGGCTGCCACGTTAAATTTCTTTGCATAGATAAAGATGACTAATTTATGTATAAAGAATTCAATCTATTTATTTCAATCGGTAAATGATTATAAATACAAAATTTTCACCACTATTTAAGTGTGTTGGTTCAAAGCAATTTAGCAACCTCATCCTTTCTTCTTCATGGCTTCCAAATCCTCTCTTCAACTTCTTCCTTTCAACACTCTAATCTATATGATCACCATCAAACTTTCTTCATCCAATTATTTTCTTTGGAAAAGTCAACTTCTCTCTCTCTTTGAGAGCCAAGACATGCTCGGCTATTTTGATAGAACTTTGGTTTCATCACCTTGCTTTAAACCAGAAACCTCCTCAACACTCGCACCAAATATTTGGCGTTGAAAGTAGCAGATCAATTGCTGTCGTCGTTGGTCTCTCCACTGCATATGACGTTTGGCTCGCGTTGGAGACTACGTTCAGTCATCATTCGAAAATCATGACTTGAGACTCAAGGATGACTTGCAACTGATGAAACGCGACACCAAATTTGTTGTTGAGTATGCTGCACATTCAAAACAATCTGTGACTAACTTCATGACATTGTTAGACCCGTTGAGGACATTGACAAATTTTATTAGTCCCTTCGTGGATTTGGTATCGTTTTTTCAACTTTTTCTATTACTTAATTGGCTCTCACTCCTCTCCCCTGTCTTGTAGATTTAGTCTTTAAAGGTGAAATTTTGAGTTGTTTCAGCGTTTCCTTGAGTCTTCTGACTCCACTACTACGACTTTCAAAGTCACTAATCATGGTCTCACTCATGGAAGCTACACTGCTTTTTTTAGCAGCTAGTGGGGTCGTAGTGGGGTCGTTCTCATTCCACAGCAAAAAATCTTTCAACAGAGGACAAATCCACTCGGGTTAGGGTCGTCGATCACCTCGTTGTCAAATATGTCGCATGAAGAGCCATTATACTAACCGCTGCAACCAACGACACGTTCGGACTGATTCTGCACATGCCCACCTTTTTGAAGCCTTCAACACATCCTGTTCTATTGCTGGGCCCGAGGCTAGTGATTTGTTTTTGGACACTAGGCTTCAGTCCTTATGACCGCGACCCGTCTATTTTGGATCTATCTAAAAATTATACCGGTAAGGGCTCTGTGATTGTAATAGCCAAAATATAATATTAATAAAAATAAAAATAAATAAACAAACAAAAATAATTATAAAAAAATATATGCATCAAGATAATAATAATAATAATAATTCGTAAATAAATAACTAAAAAAGATTACTTAAAAATAAAAAATAAAATAAAATTTACCCACCTCTTTCTACTCACTTCTCATCCCCAACCACATCCTCTTTCCTCAACCCCACACTTTCAGAGTTTACCCAAAAATAAACAAAAAGGTCATGTTAGGCTTTTCAACACAAATATGATGTAGATTTACTTAAGAGATTTTGTTTGTTATTATGGTAAAATCTTATCTCAAATTTCTTACCTTATAGTTAGGTTATAAGAAATTAATTTAGGATCAAATTTCTTTCCTATTTTCCCTATCCTATAATAATCAGATTCTATATCCAATTAATTAGATTTTTGTTAACATTTTAAGTTATAGAAAAAAGGTTAGAATCAATAAAATTTAAGTTGTCAAATTTATAAATCTGTAAGATTGTAGACAAACAATGATTAAAATTGGTCAGTAATTACAAAATGAAAATAATTACACAAAAGGATGAAGGGAGATTGAGGAAAGATTTGTTAGAACATAATTTAAAAATAAAACAGGAAATATTTGAGGGCAAGTAACTCCATTAAATTTTGTCAGTTGAAAATAGCATTATATATATAACACTTCAAGATTTTTAACAATGACCAAGGTAAATTAGACAAATGATTTTATAGAGTTCAAACTTGAAACTGATGTCATGGGCTCACATAGGTTGATTTGGATTTCAAATGACAGAATTGAACTTTTATTAAGAATATATTCGTGACAACGACTTAAGCTAACTAGGTAAGTGACCTTACTATCGGCATGGTTATATTTGATGTTGACACGTGCCTGTGGTTCTACACGTTTCATATATACTGATATGTGTAAATTATCTGTGAATCAGTATGCTTATATTATGTTTATGTTATGTTATAATATGTGGATTGTATGATAATAATTATGGTACGATGTGTTGAAGGATATGTTTGAGATAGGATACGAGAATGATGCATGAAATGAAATCTAACGATAGAAGTAAGATACGTTCATGAAGCGTTAAGGTTAGGTTACATACCAGAGTGCTATGGATAGTGGAGATTGATGAAAGAATATGGTTAGGATATGAATAGAAAGAGATATGTTTGTGATAGATTGATAGAACGATAGCGTTAGGATACGTTCCTGTGATAATATGACTAAGGTACGTTTATGTAACGATATGACTATGATAGGTATAAGAACGTTAAGACTATGATAAGTTAGGGAATAATATGACCACGAAGTGTTTACGATATGATATGTTTATGATACGATATATTGTGATATGATATGTTATTTTTTAGATTGTTTTGTGTGATCATTGAGGTAATTGTTGTATGAATTGCACGTTATGAAACGACATGTTAAAAGCATGGAGCGATGTTTTCTAAATTGTATACAGCATGTTATGAATGACATGATATCACGATAAATGAAATGAAATAAAATGTAACCCTGTTAGAAATATGTATGATATGTATGAAAAATGAGAAATGACATGTTAAGCATGAAAGATGATAGTGGGGTTATATTCATTAATGATAAAAGTAGAAATGTTGGGGATCTCATGCATTATGTGTGCTCATGCATTTAGGGGATTCCCCTATTCCATCAGGAGGGTACGGACACGTACATCCAATGGCAGGACAACGATTGTTATGTTTTGCATAGCGCTGCCGTGACGGTTACTAGTTCTAACGGGTGTCCGGCCTAGGGAGCGTCCCAGTGTATGCTCGCTCGACAAGTAAGGTGACCCAACGGTGTGCGAACTGACTGGTGAGCCC